CAACAATGGGAAGGCGAAATCCGCATCGCAGGCCGGAAATGGACAGCCAGTACAAGTTCCATGGGTCAAGTTCGGCTTGACCGAGGCGGAGTACAAAGTCCGCGGCCGCTACGGCAGCTGCTATTGGTGCAACAGCACCAAGCACAAGACCTCCCTGTGCCAGGATCAGGGCAAGGAGGATGTGCGACCCCGCCTCAGCTCAGGAAATTGAGCTCCGCGGAAGGTGAGGCGACTCCACCTTCCACTCCGCCAGATTCGGCCGCCTTGCTAGCAGCCTCCTGCACATCTGGGGAGGACGCGAATGCCGCAAGTTCTCGTTACTCTTACGAGGACTATGCTGTCTACTTGGTTCCACCGCTGGACCAGCCGCTCCACGTGCAACAGTCCACCGCATGCACGGTTTCATCACCATCGGCAACCGATTCGGCACCTTCGCCGCAATCTATCGCCGGGGATTCGACGTCATGGTCAAGACTTGATGAGCTCGACCTGTTGACGTTCACGGACTTCCAGTGGATGTTCGTTCCCTCGACCGGACGATTGCCGAAAGCGCATTGCAATGTGCTTATGGCACAACTGGGGGACTACTTGCACACTGCAGTACCAGCTCCGTTGATGGACGGCGGAGTAGAGGTTGTCAACCTTCACGAGTACATCACGAAGATTGACCGCGAGTTCAAGACGSAAYGGTACGACGACATCGACGCACCATTGCTATACATACGCATTCAGATCGGTGAGGCGACCTGCAGTGCCTTGATCGATTGCGGAGCATCTCGCAACTACATCAGCCAGGACTTCATGGTGCGCGCCGGCCTTGGCCCACGTGTCCGGAGGAAGTCCCAGCCTACGCAAGTCACGTTGGCAGACGGTCATACGCACAAGTCMATCGACCGGTGCATTGACGCCGTCCCCGTGTACTTTGCCCCTCACGCAAGTGAGGCGATGTCCTTTGACATTCTGGACACCAAATTTGACATGATCTTGGGCATGTCATGGCAGCGAAGCGAGGATCACCCAGTGAACTTCTTCAACCGCACCGTTCACATTCGTGATCGGAACGGAGTACTAGTTCCATGCACGGTGCCTCTTCCTCATCCTTCTATCAACTGCCACGTGGTATCCGCCGCAAGTATGCGAGCATCCATCATCAGAGACGACATCGAGGAGATGGGGGTATGTTTTCTCCACGCCCTCCCACCCCGAGACGCTTCATCGCTGGACTCATCTTCGGATCCACGCATCACCGAGCTTCTCGACGCTTACAGCGACGTGTTCGAAGGCCCGCACGGAGTAGTAACGGATCGGCCCATCCGCCACGAGATCATCCTCGAGGACGGGGCCGTACCTCCGCGCGGCTGCATCTACCGAATGAGCGAGGAAGAGTTAAGTGTGCTCCGTGCACAGCTCGACGATCTTCTAGAGAAAGCTTGGATTCGGCCTAGCTCATCGCCATACGGTGCTCCTGTCCTCTTCGTCCGGAAGAAGAACAAGGACCTGCGGTTGTGCATCGATTATCGCAAGCTCAACGCGCAGACGATCAGGAACACCGGCCCTCTCCCACGCATCGACGACCTTCTCGAGCGATTGGGCGGCGCCCAGGTCTTCTCTAAGCTGGATCTCAAGTCAGGGTACCACCAACTCGAGATTCGCAAGGAGGATCGCTACAAGACCGCGTTTAAGACACGGTATGGGCATTTCGAATGGCTGGTCATGCCGTTTGGCCTTACGAATGCCCCAACCACTTTCCAAGCGGCTATGACAACGGAGTTCTGACACATGCTGGATCGGTTTGTACACATCTACCTCGACGACATCTTGGTGTATAGTCGGAGTTTGGAGGAGCATGTGGAACACCTGCGCACCGTTTTGGAGCGGCTACGACAAGCCAAGTACAAAGCAAACCGCGACAAGTGCGAGTTCGCACARCAGGAGCTGGAATACTTGGGACACTATGTGACGCCGCAAGGCATCCGTCCGCTTGCGGACAAGATCGAGGCCCTACGAGTATGGCCTGAGCCCACCAACACCACAGACGTTTGTTCATTCATGGGATTGGCGGGCTACTATCAGCGATTCATCACYGGATACTTCAGGATTGCTGCACCTATGACGAGGTTACAGTCGCCAAAGGTGCCATTCGTATTCGATGATGCCGCACGCCGGTCATTCCAAGCACTTAAGACGGCTATGCTCATGGCACCCGTCCTTAGCATCTATGACCCCACCCTGCCAACGCGAGTGACTACGGACGCTTCCGGCTATGGCATTGGGGCAGTCTTGGAACAGCACGACGGCGAYGACTGGCACCCTGTGGAGTATTTCAGCCACAAAGTGCCTCCCATAAACTCGCTTGATGATGCAAGGAAGAAGGAGCTGCTCGCATTCGTCATGGCTCTCAAGCGATGGCGGCACTTCCTCCTTGGGCGTCGTAGGTTCACATGGGTCACGGACAACAATCCATTGACTTACTACAAGACGCAGGATTCGGTGAGCAGCACGATCGGACAATGGAAGTACTTCATCGACCAATTTGACTTCACACCGAAACATCTGCCTGGCCTCTCAAATCGTGCAGCAGATGCACTCTCGCGAAGACCCGATTTTTGCGCTATGACACATCATGCCTTCGCATTCGACGAGGAGCTTCAGCGACACTTCATCCGGGTATATCAGTCTGATCCGGACTTCGGCACGCTCTATGCACAACTATCTTCGGATCACCCGCCAACCACCCATTACCGCATTGCCGACGGGTACTTGCTCCTCCACTCGGGAGGCAAGGACTTACTATGTGTCCCACGCGACCGTCGTCTTCGGACTCGCCTCCTCGGCGAGTACCATGATTCACGACTCGCCGGCCATTTCGGAGTCAACCGCACTATTGCACGGCTTCGACAGCGATTCCGATGGCCCGACCTCATTACCGATGTCACTCGGTATTGCGACTCTTGYGAAGTTTGCCGACGCAGCAAGCCCCGCAACCGCAATCCCTACGGGGAGTTACACCCGATGCCTATCCCACGGGAACCCGGTCTCTCCATTGCCATGGACGTCACCGGTCCGTTTCCTCGCGACCGGCTCGGGCACGACGG